AATGATGGTCAATGATGGTCAATGATGGTCAATGTTGGTGAATGATGTGTAATGACGGTGAATGATGGTCAATGATGGTGAATGATGTCTAATGATGGTCAATGATGGTSAATGATGGTGAATGATGGTGAATGATGGTGAATGATGTCTAATAATGGTGAATGATGGTCAATGATGGCCAATGATGTCTAATGATGGTGAATGATGGTGAATGATGTCTAATGACCGTGAATGATGTGTAATGATGGTCAATGATGGTCAATGATGGTTAATGATGGTCAATGATGGTSAATGATGGTGAATGAATGTCAATCATGGTCAAAGATAGTGAGATGTCTTATGACGGTGACTGACGGGAATGAAGGGGAATGGTGGCAAATGATGGGGAAGGACACCCAATGACAGCAAATCATGCCAAATCACATAAATACAAGAAAAATATATATAGTCCGAATTGGCAGTTTGGTGTATATAGAACATGAACTTATAACCTGTTTTGTTTTTGCTCAGCGCATCATCGCGCTCGAATGAGAATTTTGTGAATAATATTCCTTCAATGAAAAAAATACTCAATACTTGACTCCACATACTCTCGATCGACCAACTATGAAAGCCTTTCCATCCCTTGTTCTACTATTCTGTAAGTAGGAAAGAAAATATTAAGCAGCGATTGAAATTTTCTTGGCATTTTTTTCTCTATATGATGACATCTGGATTTTCAAAATGACCAATTTTTTTCACAAAATTGCAGTACTTATTCTCTTTTATCTCGTCGAAGAATCCTTAAGGAAACGTAATATTAACTGTCCTCGACAATTTTAGGTCAAACTTCTGTAACTGATACTCTTCAATTTAACAACTTCAGGATTACGAACTGTGCTCTCATTTTTGAATATTTTAAGCTTATATGACACTGTACGCTTCTTAGTTTCGATCGATATTCTCATTTGTTGTACTTGTCTTAACTTCTATTATAGGATACGTAAACTAAGATATCCCGTTTGATAAAATTACGTTTATTTTTTTCAAGGCGTTGAATAATTGATGCCAACATTCGAGCGCAGCTTTCAAAATATCCTGACATATTTATTTTTTATAAATTTACGTAACTTATGTTAATTATCAAGCTCCCTAGAACAATATATAGACTTTCTTTATTCATTGTTTATTAGGACATGTTTTGTCAGGTGTTAATGGTCCCTATATTTTGAGGTTGTTTATTCATATAATTCCCTTGAGCATTATCTTTTTCTTGCATTGCACTCGCTGGCACTCTTCCAGAAGCCACGTTGCTATGAATATTTCTAACTTAAAATGTTTTTAAATCCACTGTTAAAAAGGCAAAATTTGTAATAAAAATAATATAGGCTTTAATTATATAACCACTAGTATACGAAAAGAATGACTAGAAGTTTTTTGAGTAAGATATTCCAGACGATATCCATTGTCCATCATCAGTTTAATGACTCACTATAAGTGTATTACAGTGAAATACTTTAAAACCTTAGGGACTAATGAAGTACTGTAAGCCCAAGTACTGTATAACCACTAGTGTTTTACATGGAAATATGCCACTCATATTTTTCATTTAGTGACATATTTTCTATTTCCTCGCACATAAAGACATCTGACATCACTTCTATTGTTTTCCCGCTCACTTTAACATGAGTTACAACAAGTTTTTGTTTGTGAATGTGTATATATTTATATTTCTAATGAAATAAAATTTATACTATGGCTTGAAGATTTAAAGCTTATTTTCTCATGTTGAAAAACATTCCACCACTCAAAGATAAAATAGATATCTTCATGTCACCATGTATTATCCTCTATATATAGACTCTGAGACATTTCTTGCATTAAAAATTAACAATTATTAGCCCCCACCCCCTCACCTATTTTTTTGACTCCATGATTGTCTTACCAAAACAGGTTTGGTAGGACTTGGAACATCAGAGGCAGTTACAGCTTCTCCAACACCAAATCCAGAATGTCCTGGTATGCACAGAATTGCTAAAAATCTAGAGAAAGGAGTTCAGTTATACACGAGGGAAACTACCATCTGTAGTGTGAATAATGCTTGCACTGGTAAGCCACTAAATTTTTTAGAATTAATATATTGAAAATATTCATCAAAGCCATAGAAGATACGACCAACTGAGAGCAGAGATGATTTTCATTGGAGTGGCATTCTGATTGCCAATCAAATAAGATAGCAGTTGTGGCAATATTATATATCTGTGGGATGGTTTTAAAATGCAGCACTTTGCAGAACTGTGAGTTGTTTATTTATAGAAAGTCTGAAAAGACCTTAATATGGGAATTTTCTGGTATTTTTTGTACTGTTAAGAAAGACAAGAGTACTGTAGCTGTTTTTTGAGGTTCTCTAGTTTTGCTTCTTCCTCAAAACTGTACTGGATGAAGAGCCACTCTCCTAAATAACTCCATAAAATCCAATTTGATTTGGTTAATATTGGGACTGGTTTAGTCCTCTGTTGGTGGCATTGGTGTTCAAGAAGGTGATAAAAATGATGATTATCTGTTTTAAATAATAAATAATTAATACTTACAAAGATGATAATGAGAGCTCATATTTCTGATTTCTGAAGGCATTATATACGCTTGATTGCAGAAAGGTTGTAGTATACATTTATACAAATACCTAATTTATTCAGTATATTTAATGATATGCAAAACAGAAAACTTTATTTAACAAATCGTTCATAGATTTCCATTGTCTGTCCTCTTATTGATCATAGATGACGTCTTAAAATGTTCAAAACTAAAGTGGAACCACGAGCGCAGCGAAAATTTGTCATTCAAGGAAAGCAAGGCGATAGACCAAACAGCTCCGATTATTGTGAGCTTTTGAATATTTTCGCTAAGATAGTTAGTTTTCATGATCATTAGAGGACAGAGTACAGAAAGTAAGACGAAGGTTTTTTGGTTATTTACTTTTGAAAACTTCAAAGGTTATTTTATAACTTACAAAAGTTTTTTTCATAAAACACGTCAACATTTCACAACCAAACTTCCTACACTGTGATTGGCTAATTTTGACAGTTCTTTGACAGCCACTGTGAAAGAATGCTTGCTATTGGTCAAAACTTTTGACATTTACTTATAAATGGCTTTTTTAGCTAAGTCGAAAAGAGTCAGAACTCAAAGATTCTAAAAAACGAAGCTTAATAAGTTCAGCTATGAAAAGCAATGTCAATTTCGCTTGACAACATAGACATTCACGTTCTGGATGGAGCAGCCATTGAAGATTGACTCTGGAATGGAGTTAATGGCCATCTCAGACTGTACAACCTGTACAGAAGTGGAAGCAGACGAAACAGCCCTGGGATCTCGATCAAGCCTTCTACTCTCGCCCTCTGAATCGGTCAATGCACTGGAAATCACGTCCGAGCAGGTCTTTAGTTGCTGGACCGATGGTCTTCTGTTATAAGATAGAATACTCTGTTCATTGGTATGTCCAGAGATGCTCATTATGTGACGAGTTGGGATTCCAGCATTTGACCACATGGTGATAGCTGTTGCTCTGATGCTGTGGTTCATGTAGGCTTTTGACAAGCCGGCTCCGATAGAGATTGACTTCATCATATCACCCAACTTGTTGACACCTAGAGGCTTGTTTTCATACCACACTGGGTCCTCTGGTGTAAAGATTGGCACTGGTCTTTGAAAGAACGCTTGTTGTTTGGGGTTAAGTTTGGAAAGATAGTTCTTCAGGCACCACAGCGAATCGCCAGTTTCACCTGTTGAATACAACCGTGTTTCGTTTTCATAACTCTGCTTGTCACAAAAGCCAACCTGATGGTTTTTGGTCTGCTCCTCGTGAGTCATGGTTGCATATTCCTTTCCTTCACTGTCAAGATCAAAAGTAAAGCTTTCTCGGCGGAGCTGTCTTTGGCCCTCACAACCACAGCGGCACCAATACAGGGTCACTATGAACCACACTCGCCGAAGGAGGCTGTAAGGATTCTCGTGGCTCAAAAAAGGATTTTTCTTGACTTTACTCACATTGGCTGGCTCAATGACTGGTTTGTGTTTGGTATTTTGTTTCTGTTCTCTTTTGTTGACCTTCAGCTTGCTCTCCAGTATCTTGTTAGA